TTGTCTTTAAGCTCTTCATCCATTCATCCAAATTAGGCCTTAACATGCTTGAATTGCATGAATTATGCTCTCTTGCTCTATTTGCCTACAAAACACATAAAGGGAGGCAAATAACTTAGAAATCTAAGAAACTAAGCAAAAGAAGTAAGTAAATAGGGCATGTATATGTATGAAATTATGAGCTTAACAGCAAGCGGCCAAGCCTCCCTCACCTTCATGGAAGACAAGTTACTTTTGATGTTACCCCTGCAACTCATCTCTTTTGTTCAATAAAGCAATGTAGTCCCCCAAACATTAATACAAGTTGAAGCTTTTCTCTCTAAGGGAGTGTTCACAAATGCAATCGACACATCTCCGGACGTAGGGCAAACAGGCCACACTCATCGACACGTCTCCGGACGTAGGCCAAACAAGCCACTCTCATCGACACGTCTTCGGACGTAGGCCAAACGGGCCACACTCATCGACACGTCTCCTGACATAGGCAAAACATGCCCGGAGTCCCTCAAGAGGGACCCTGACACTTATAAATTTCCTAATGAAGACACACAATCAAGATACTGGTTGGTTTTTCGAGCAGTTCATAAGTCAATATGCGAAGTGAAGTTGAAAAAATAACTGAAATTTCCATAGCAAGCTGACCATTCGACCAAGTTCAACAAAAAGAAGATGTCCAAACAAGACCAATTATTCTAAACAAGAAAAACAGACTACAAAAGCTGGAAAGAAATAAAAGAGTCTTCATCTACTTTAAGACACCAGCAGGAGATCCCTGATCTACAGCCTCTTCGGCATCCGCCTGATCAGCCACGTTCTCAACAGCTCCACCTACCCGATCCGCGACATCTGCCACTACCTCATCTGCTGCATTCAGCTGCCTACTCTTCAGCTCTTTATAAGCATCAAATCTAGCCACAAGCTTGTCATAACTAACGGAGATGTTAGCATTCTTACGCTCAAGACGAAAGTAGGCATTTTTCGATTAACCAAGTCAGCAGCAGAAGAGGGGGCAATAGCAGATGAGATTTAGATAGTTTCAACAGCAAAAACTACTCATCTTTGAAATAGATGGAATGTTACTTCCCTTTGTTTTTCCAAGGAGAGACTTGAGTCAAGATCACCAATCAGATGGATATGATCAACCAGCTTGAAGCAAGCAGACAGACTTGACAGAAGGTTCATCTTCAGCAGATCAAACACGCCTGCATCCCTGCATGGCTGGACTTGTCCACCTTGGGATCAACTGTTGACGTTGTAAAAGAATCATTCACCCAGACATATGACTCTCTCATCTTCGCAGCAGCCGCCATCCTCACCTCCAAAGGAGTCGACGATGCTGAATCAACTCTACGCTCAACTACTCGTGACTCAACAGTTGGATCACGATAGTTGGGCCCAGTTCGACCTCCATCCCTTAACTGGTGCAAACGACTCGAACTTTGGAGAGGAATACCAACATCTCTCTGCTTCTAGGCAGGTGAACTAGTTTGCGAGCAGATCACGGTTTGTCAGCAGGAGGCTTGAGTAGAACATCCTGAGCACTGCGCATACCATCAACCTTCCTGTTATCTGCACCAGCGGGATGTTTAACCCTAGCAGATGACGAGGGAACAGCTCCTACTTGAATCTTCTCAGTAGAAGGGAGTGTTGGCTTCTTCCTTAACGGAGACACATCATTGGCCCGCGAAGTTGCAACTCTATTTCTTAAAGACTTGACATCAGCCTTCCTTTTTTAGGGAAGTCTAGCAGAACACTTCTCCTGCCCAGCTGGCAGATCATCAGAGTCTGGATCATTCTGCTTCCATCTCTCAACATCTTGGGCAGGGGGCAGACCACCGACCCTTTCCCGATACTTGCCGAGCTGACGAGGCCCACAACGCATGAGGCCAAGCATGCTCCAACCCACGACAAGTTCTTCGTGGGATCGACCCCGTACTTGTATAATCTATACTTCAATAGACTCGTGCACTTGCGGGTATTTTTAATTGGTTGTTTGCACATTAATTTGTGTCCTCTTAGGAATGCAACACTTCCCCTAGCTGATCCTCGAAGCAAAAAAAGAAGAAAAAGAAATATACGTGCTCGACTTACCTTGGGATGCACGGCGACTCCTCTTTTTGACAAGCAATACAAATTCTCCAAGATCTCTCTCAAGCTAGAAAGTAGAGAAGTTAAGTTTGCGATGTGAAGAAGAGTGAAGAGAAGCCCTACATTTATACATGTTGGGCATCCTAGGTCAAGAAGGAATCACAAGCTCATTCCAACTGGGAGTCCAATTTCAGAAAATTAGCAAGTCAAACACCTCCTCCACTCAGGAGCCCAAGTCACAGAAGGAAGCCCAATTATAGCTGGACAACCCAACGATTAATTTACACCTCCTCCATGCCACCACGTGCCATGCAGAAGCTGAGGGGCAATTGTGGGAACCAAATTAAATCAAAAACCCTAGGTCAAATATTTCCTTCCATTTGGGGACTATTTGACCTAATTGTGAGTTACTCAATTTAATTAGGAGTTGCCTAATTAAATTGGGATTGATTTGATTCCTACCACAATTAGGGATTTGATTTAAATCAAATAAATCAAATCCCTAATTAATCAAATCTCGCCAAATCGGGGAGGAATAATTCCTTTCCATCTACGGAATTATTCCTCTAAAACCCTAGCCTCCGAGGCCCCTATAAATAGATGGCTACACACAAGGGTTGAGGTACGTCAGAATTACTACTAAAACTTTGCATAAATTTTCCTCTCACAAACCATAGCTGCCTCCTCTCTCTCCCTCTTTTACATAAGGCTCCGGCCGCCCGGTTTACACCATAAACACATATATCTCCGTACGCTAATTAGCTAGTGTTTTTCTTACAAACTCTTGAACTAATTTAGGCATCGGAGGGCCTTTGGCCAACACCCCCCGGGTGTGGTCCTCTTATTTGTTCTATTTTGCATGGAGAAAGAAGCGGTGAAGAAGAAAGGGGAATCTTTCCAATCGAATATTCTCGTGGGGAAATTTGCTCCCACAGGTACTTTGGCCAGAATGTGTTAACTGGTAAAAGGTATTAAAACTGGAGTTCAAGGATACAATTTTTTATTTCTGGTGAATTTTTTTTATTTGATTCATGGTTTGGTTCTTCTAACAAGTTTGTCAACTAATGCAGGAGATATTTTGGTCATAAACTTGCAATCCATCCAACTGCTAATAATCTGTCTCTGTTGTTCATGAATCGTAATACATGATGTGGGAAGAATTTGCCTCAAACTAATGAAACTGGATTCAAGGGAGAGCCAAATGAGATAAAGCCTGGCAGGGGTGAGTTCCACGAAAACCCAGCAGCCTGCATATGCAGCGCATCTAACACAGAGTCCAAGGGAATTTCAATTCCGCAAAATGAAAGTCGTGACAGCCAGAAAATACTTGAGGAAGACACCAAGGAGAGTGCTTATGTGACAGACGAGCAAATAATCGAGGATGAGCAGGATTGGTCTGAGATGGATTATATGGAAATGAATGTAAATCGGTCTCGGGGAAAGTGTTGCCTCCTAGTGTAAGAGTTTCAGATCCAGGTCTTCTACTTAAACCTAACCAACCAGAACTTCAAGTGTTCTTTTCGGACTGAATTAGTTAGAAGTAGGGCTGGGCATTCAAACCGGTAACCCGGTCAATTTTTTTTTGGTCATCGGTTTGAACTCAAACCAAACCAAAATATATGGTTCAGTGTACGGTTTGCAATATTCAAAACCACAGTTTAATCAAACCAAACCGATGGCATTAAAAAAATATTATATATAATATTATTATAAGAAATATATATATAATACATAGTTTCCCTCTTTTTTTTTCCTTCTTCTTCTCTCTCTCTTTTGGTTTCCAAAATAACCAAACCGAAGCCTACGGTTCGGTATTTGGATTGAGCCCAAAACCGAACCAACCCAAACTGAGCCCACCCCTAGTTAGAAGGAGACTGGACTGGACTTCCCATCTGTGCGAGGTAGCTGATTTGTTTAAACAAATTCGTCACCAAATTCTTTGCTGGTTTTGATATAGGTTGCTTAGATGGGCAAGATTAGTTTTGTTACACTGAAGGGTAGTAATAACAAGGAAGCACAATGTACATAGAAGGCCTCTGTAGTTGAGCCGCAGCATCATTTGAGTAATAGAATGGAGGAATAATATAGAGTCCTATTCAGATTCTGAAACTTGAAAATGAAGCTACTGGAACATCTTTCACTGTTTGTTTTTTCCTTTTCTCAGATGATTATTGCCGTAAGGGAGGATTGTTTATATGACAGGAAAGAAGGAAAAGAGGTTTAGGATCTTTTACAACTTCTTCAGGCGTTCTTTTTTGTACCTTTTTTTCTTTTTTGTTTCGAGGACATGTTCTATAATAGGCATGTAAATCTAACCGCGGCTCTGCTTTCTTCATCTCCAGTTCTCTGTCCCTCCAAAATTGGCTTGTTTTTCCTTATGGCTTTTAACAATGCAATGAAGAAAATTTCATGGCTTATGTGGAAGCAAAATATCTCATTCTAGGTCAAATAATTAGGTCAATCAATTTGGGAATTATTTGACCTAATTTGGGGTTACCAAACCTAATTGAGAGTTATCTGAATTAATTAGGAGGTTATTTGATTCAAATTAGATTTCTTTGATTTTTGTCTTAATTAGGGATTTGGTTAAATCCATAACCCCTAAATACACCAACCCCACCAACCTCGCCAAATTAAAGCCTCTGAGACCCTCTATAAATATGGGCTACACACGAGGATGTAGGTACGTATGAATTCCTACTAAAACTCTGCATAAATTATTTCTCATAAACCCTTCTCCCTTCCTATTCTTTCTCTCTCTCACACAAGGCTCCGGCCACCACACACGGCTCCGGCCACCCGGTTTTCCTTGAAATACCCAACCTAACTTAAGCATCGGAGGGCCTTTGGCCAACACCCCCCGGGTGTGGTCTTTTTACTCCAATCTATTTTGCAAGGAGAAAGAGAAGCGGAGAAGACAAAGGAATCTCAATCGAATATTCTCGTGGGAGGAAATTTGCTCCCACAGCTTACATGGGGAGGAGAGGGCAAATTAAAATTATCTTGCACCTCATAAAAAGAAAATTAAAATTTTCTTCTTCTACATTTTTATGTTTTGAACAAGCGATATTGGTGAAGGAGAATTAAACACATGATCTCAGTTAGAAGGATAAATGCTACAAATTCCTTTGCTTGATGATCTCAGCATCTTGGGCATACAACAGGCAGATTCCACACTTTACCACCTCCAACTCCGGAAAGGGTTTGCGGCGGTCTTGTTTCAGTGAGAAGTCAACAGAGGCCTCAGTGACTAGTTTGTAGAAGGCCGTGGGGATTTCAGCTCCCCCTACAACTTGAAAGACATTATTATACCACCACACAAACAACTCATGAGAATCAACTGAAGTCCATACATACGGATACGGACTATAAAAAGGATGGTTGATTTCGTGGCTTTCACCATTGCTAGTTTTGAAGTTGTACTTGCATCCAATGTCAAAGATGTACTTGTATCCACAGTCCAACCATCCAGCATTATTCTTGCTGTATACAACAACAGAAAGAGCGAAGCCCAAGAAATCAGTACGAAACCAATCAGGAGGAAGCTTGATGTTTATTGAAGATCCTTCATTTTGATGGCTGAACCAATTTGGAATTTCATACCCCGGACAGTTAATGGCAACAAAAGATCCCCAATAAAAAAGTTCCTGTACCATGGATGGTGATCATAGTTATTAAACTAGAGAAAAAAAAAATTGCAGCTGCTTCAACAGAAGTGAGAGTGACAGAGAGTGTGTGCGTGAGGTAGAGAGAGAGACCTTTAATTCATTTCTATTATCTGGTTCATATTCATCATTGGAATCATCTGAATCATATGATGCTTCTTCTTTAAATTTTGATGATGCAGTTGCCATTCGCATAATTCTGAGCTGTGCATCAGCCATTATGTTGCTTCTTGCATTCTCATCCAACTTTGGACATCCAGAAAATATACGTTTCTCCTCAAGCCGTGGAGGAGAAAATACGTCCCAACCTTGTGTGAGTGCAGTCCTTGAACTTGACACTTCCTTCAGTGACGTGCAACGACCTGCTTCAAGACATTGCAGCAATGGGGGGAGCTCTGGTAAATATTCAAGGCTCTTGCAATAGGTTAGGCGCAGGCAAGACAGCCGAGCAGCTTGTTTGATGCTTGCAGGTATGCTCTTAATTTCGGTATCTTCCAAATCTAAGGAACATAATGAGGTTAAGCAAACGAGAGCATCAGGGATTTCTTTGATACTGCACTCAGCGAGGATTAGTTCTCTCAAAGAGAGCAATCTGACTTGGTCTACTGAGACGGGAGGCAATTTCCCAAGGCTCCTGCAGCCATGAAAGTTTAGAGTTTCAAGATTACTTAGATTGTAGATACTGTTTGGGACAATCTCAAGGTGCCAGCAGTCATGGAGATCTAATTTTCGAAGCCCAATTAGATTTCCTATCGATGAGGGTAGAACTTTAAGCGCTGTACTTGATAAACTAAGAGACGTCAAATGTTCCATAGGCTCCAGTATTTCTGGGAAGTATTGGAATTCAGAGCATAATTGAAGATCAAGACTCTCAAGAGATTTTAACTTGCGAATGCTCGTTGAGAGACTCAGAAGGCTGTCACAAGCGAAGAGACGAATTGTAGTGAGACCGAAGAGAGACTCCAATGATGACGGCAATTCTTTTATTGCTGTCTCACTCAAATCTAGGTAACTTGTATACCTGGGAAGCTCAGAAAACTCGCCAAGAGATTCGCAGCCGTTTAGACTAAAAGTACCAGAGACTTTCAGATTACAACTGTTGCTCGGAAGTTTCTCAAGGGCTTTACAATGAGTAACATTCAAGGAACAAAGTTTTTCTAGAGACCAAACTGATGAAGGCAATTCCTTTATTGCAGTCTTAGATAAATCTAAGGATTCAATGTTGACAGGCATCTCAGGAAGATAGTTGAGATTGAGGCAGCCTCCCAGATCAAGATAAGTAAGTTTGTGAAAATTTTGAAAATAAGAAGGAATCTGAACCAAATTTGTACATTCACAAAGATCTATATGCTCAAGGTTTGAACTCCCAGACAGATCAGGAACTTCAGTCAGATGCTTGCAGTAACTAAGATCGATCACTTTTAAGTTCCCAAGTTTCTGTGACAAATTAAAGAGAAATGTTCTGAATCATTAAATTCACCACAAAACTTTCCACAACTTATACAAGAACTAAAATAAGCATATAATTTATATATATGTACCTGGCCTTTATTCCAAATTTGCCCAACTACTTTGCTGCAAGGCATTCGAAGTTCGACGAGATTTTTCGTTGAAAATTTCGTAGGCAGAGATTTCAAAGGGTATGCCAGCCAGTGAAGATACCGAAGAGCATCAGGAAGAGACTCTAGACCTTGGGAGAGATCGAAATTGTTGAACATTAATGACAATGACAATTGGAAGGAGAGTCCATAATCCTTTAGCATTCTGTTGATGTAATTGAACTCTATATCCATACGCTGGAAGTCACGTTTGGAGCTTAGATGAGGATCATAAATCTTTAGCAATCTTAAATTATACATATTTTGGAAGGCTGCTGCACCACTCAGCTTTGTAGTCGCAGTGGGGTGAAAGGATATGGATCGAACTGTTGCAGTTCCCTGAGAATCAAATAGCAAAGTATAAATGAGAATAAAACATATAACAGAAGTTGACATGTTTATCAAAAATGAGTTTTCTATGGTGTCTTTCCATAGAAAGCTCATGATATTTTTCTTTTCTATGAAATGCTTTGGCTCTTACTGTATTATTTTCCAGCACATGACAGACATCCTCAGCATCCCACAACCTATCGCGTTTTCCTGGCTCTTCGATACATTGTTCACGAACAATTGCCCAACCCATTTCTTGTAACATATCATGCATCTCTAGGCAGTTACTTGTTGAAATCGATATGAGGGACTTAGCAATGAGAACTTTAATCCCCACCGCATAGAAACCGTGAAGATGTATCATTTTTATCACAAAATCCATATCCATCCCTTTATAAAAACATGCTATATCGAGAAATATCTCCCTCTCATTCTTTTCTAATCCATTGTAACTATGTCTCAACACACTCAGAATTTCTTCGTTAGGGAATGTTTTCAATTTGCTCAATTCTTCTTCCCAATCTTCTATTCTCTTGTGTGGAAGGAATAAGGGACCCAGAGTTTTAAGAGCTAATGGAATGCCTTTAACATAATGTACCACCTTTCTTGACAACTCAGAAAAATCTGCTTTTGGAGACTTATTTTTGAAAGCATGCGACTGAAAGAGCTGAAGAGCTTCATTGGGACTTAATCTCTCAACCTCGTATATCTTATCATCATCAACCCTTTCCTCAAGTAGGCTCCTATCTCTAGTTGTTATAATGATTAGACTTCCGCGGCAAAACTGATCATGGTCACCAACAAGAAATTCTAGTTGGCTTGAAGCATTCACATCATCAAGAACAATGAGGGCCTTTGTACGGCTGATCCTTTCTCGAGTAAAAGTTGATCCAATAGACGGAGTGTCGATATTTAGATCTCTGTCCTTTAATATCTCACGAAGAAGTTTATTTCGCAAGTGATTTTGTCCATGTTTTTCTGATTCCTCCCTAACATTTGCAAGAAAACAACAAGCTTCAAATTCAGAGGAAAGCCTGTGAAATACAACATCAGCAAGGGTGGTCTTGCCAATCCCACCCATGCCCCAAATACCTACATAGCAAACACCTGGTAAATCAAAGCATAATAACGACTCAATTTGCTCAATTTTCCATTTAATTCCAACCAGTCCCTTTAAATCGCTTGACGATTCGCGATTCAATTTGGTCCAAATATCTTGGACAACTTTCTTAACTAAACTGGCCTCCGACCTGGCATATATAATCATAAGGGACAAACAAACAAATGGTTAGTAAGTATGCCAAAGGTAATGAAATAGTCACAAGAGAAATCAATATAAGTTATAGAATTAGTTACTGAGAGATAGAAACTTTGTTTATGGGCCGGGTCGGGTTCTGCGACCCGGTGAGACGTGGCGAAGATCCTAATTCAATTGCCTGCCACTAGAGCATGAACCAGCACTCGTCTCGTCCCTATGCGCGCACACATTCGATCACCCATTTTTCGCGGTTTCTTTCTTTTCTTTAATCTTTACGATTTTTTCTTTTTATCTGATGATTTGATTCTTGCCATAAGGCACTTCTTCAGACTTTACTTTCTCTTTCATTTACCCAATGTGAATGGTATTTGCTTCCAACCTGGGCCAGGCAGGCAGGGCAGCTTCCATTAAAGTAGAGTCGAGCTAAATAATGAAGCCATTCCAACTTCAAGCTGAAATCTAACTCATGCAAAATAAATTTCTAATATATAATATACATTGAATTCAATGAAGAAAATTACATGCGGAGGAGGAGGCTTAAAACAAGAAAGATTATCTCGCACCTAAGCCTGACAAACTCAAAAGCCACAAGGTTGTTTGATGAAACGGTAGTTCAGGGAGTCTTACCTGATATCATAACTTTGAGAATACTTTTGGATGCTCTCTTCCAAGGAGGGATGCCAGAAGAGGCTCGTAAAGTAGTTGAGGCCAGAGTTTAATGGTGATAAAAGATCATGTCCCTGATATTGCTTCTTGCTATAAAGCCTTGGTCAACGGCTATATGCAAGCTAAAGGATAGGTAAAGCTTTGAGGCTCATTGAGGAAATGATCGAACAAGGGGTGATGCCTGATCTGGAAACCCTCAAAGCTTTGAGAGGTTTGCGTCCTAAAGGGCATGTTGCATCTGCGGAATAGTTCCCCATGAGAACGCTAGAACTTTTACAATCCTGTTAAATCTTTCAACTGCTAATTATGTCATCGCAATCTAAAATTGTATGTCCAAGCAATATGAGTGAATGGAAGTGGTTTCAAACAAGTATAGCATCCTTGGAGCAACCTAAGTGAGGACGGTGCTGAAAAATACATTCAATATTCTTATTCTCACTGACTCTCCCATTAACTTTCAACCACATCCAAATCTTTACCTTTCTCTTAATTCATCATATGTAAGTTCAAGAATGAAGAGATATCAAGAATTGCCCCATTATTTGACTATGTTTAGGCATAATGTTATAATTTACGCCCAAGTTCAAAATAGAGCCCCTTTAAAGCTGTATGTGTTTTTCAGGAATATAGCCACACAAAAAACGCACTTGAATAGACCCAAATACCCTCAAAATTAAAATACTAATAAACTTCAAAACCAAAACCAAAACCAAGTAAGCTTTTTCCCGTTGCATGGGAGAACTTGAAATGAAACCAAGAATATCAATGTGCAAACTCTCTACTGTAGAGATCCTTACCTTCCAAGCCAAAACAAATAGGCAGTTTGAATGATGACAAAAATCCTCATCCAAAAGCCCGTGAGATTCCCAAATGTCTGTCTAATAGGGTTTTTTTTAGGTTGACTTGATTTTTAATTTTTTGAGGGTAATTAGGTCTGTTGAAGTGAGAATTTTAATATATTGGCACTAAAACTGAACAGATAGAGATGAGTGCAACTTACAAGTGAGATGGACGATCGAGAGATCGATTGAGTGTTTAGATGCAGATTCTTCCTGTCCTCAGATACTGATCACGAATGGAAGGAAGCCGAGACTCGTAAGTGTTGCGTCGATACAGCTGCACCAAAATGGATTCAGCTGCATCCTCAACTTGTGATACTCGCAAGTGCACGAGCCGTTTGGTAGTATAGCATATGTAAGTGCGAGGTCGATCCCACGAGGATTGGTGATTGAATGATCCCATTCATTTTCCCTACACAAAACAGAAATGAAAAAGAAAGGAAATAAATAAAATAAGGAAGAAAGAAAATAACTAACTCAAGTAGATAAGTTCCCAAGTTCAATTAGATTAACGGATTGATTCTAGCTAATGTATGATTAAGCCATGGTGTGTGGTCATAACCTTGTGTTCCTAATTCCCTAATTTGATCATTTGTTGTCTAACCTAAAATTAAGCATTAGGAACCCATTAAGCATAGAAGAACAATTTAAACAACCAAGCATGTATCTAATCCCTGTTGTCGAATGTCCATACATACTCTTCCTATTCATAGTTCAATTCGAATTAAAGCATGGTGTATACTCTTAATTCAAACCAAGATAGCTAACATGCAAGCCTAAATGGTGATCAATCATTCAAACTAGCATATTAACTTATAAGCATAATGAATAAGAACAAAAACCATAATTGAAACTTGGAAACTTATCAAACTTGAATACTTAAGAAAGAATGTACATTACAAGAAAAATAAATTACAACTAAGAAAACATTAAAGAAAGCTAGAATTGAGAACTAGAAAGCAAAACTAAGAGAATTTGAGGGAAAGAAGGGAAGGGAGCTCTAGAGAAGTGTTTGAGAGCCCCCCCCCTTGGGGTGTGTTTACAAGCTTAGAGAACATCCCTATTTATAGGCCTAGAGGAAGTGAAAATCTGAATTCAATATGGCTAATGCATACAACACTTATTTTATAAAATCTGAAATGGTTGATGCACTTCACCAATAGATCCCACCAGCAGCCCTAGCACATCTTCATGTCACCATGACCAAGCTTCCAACCAGAAACAATAGCTCATCCTGAGGTCAGCATGACCAGCAACTTCAAGGGCTTACAAATTGGGCTAGGCTGAATCAAATGAAGACTTTAAGATGTCCATTGTGAAGTTCAGAATGTGTATGATCCAACCACACAAGTATTGGCCCAATCCAAGCTCAGATGAAGAAG